CTGGGCTCTGATTGGTTGTTTTCGTTCAGGCCCGGTGGATTCTTGCAAATGCCATTAGGAGCACTAGGAGGAGCCAGAGGAACCTGATTGTTTCACAGATTATCTGTCTCATATTGTACTGTCAGGATATAGTGAAAGTTTCAGTGAATATGACAAAAAGTTATTCAATGTGTTTTGAAAGTGGACAGACCTTGTTGACAGTGACTTTACACACATAGAAGAGATTCCTGCCCAACAGCAATCCAGAACAGATCTCATAGCAGCTTCACAAATGCAGGCTTCATGTTGATGTGCTGCCCCTTTGTGGTGAACACCAACTACTACAGTTCAGAGAATACAAAGACTTGAGACTATATTAGAGCATTTATTTTATTGAGTTTGAGTCACTGTTTGTGCAAGAGTATCACTGAGGCATCTATGGAAAGATTTGGTGTAATATAATGAAACAATGTGCTTGGTTCTACTGTATACTGTTGCTAAGAGTGAACACACATCGCTGAAACTTGATCGGCTTTTTCAGCAATGTTACTACCTCAGCCTCTCACTCATATAACCAGACTTTACACTGACTGAACACATTCTCCCCCTCTTTTCTATTTGCCCATTCAGTAAAACACAACAATGGAGATCTTTTAAAGGATCAGTATTGGCTAAAATTAAACCAATCAAATCCTTTCCTTACTTTTAGTGTAACAGAGCCTTTCCAGTGTGTCAATGTGCACAATATCAGAACACTGGCTCTGTTTAACCTGAATGGAACCTTAATTAGTATCATACAAGTGGTATCAACACCTGTGTTACCCTAGTATTTCAAGTAAAATTGGTTGCTGTGAAAAAGGTCTATTGCAAATATTAAACAGACTTTAAACAGACACACAGGAACTGTGCATTTTCATTCACTGTGAGTGGTGGTGGTAATGGTGAGAAGGTTTGCTGTGAAAATGGTTTCTCTATCACCTTCAGAACTAGCTAGAAGATGTATCAGAATGGTAAGTGTAGTTAGCATCTTTTTATTTGTTTACATTGTTTGATAGTTTGCTAGTAACTAACTGTCAAAACTTTCATTATGCTAGTGCTAACTCTTGGTCACTGTACTGACAAGTCTGCTCTGCTCTGGAGGCAGTCTGGCTAGTTAAGTCCTTGCTTACGTACATATTACAGAACATCCTGCATTATTCATATATACATATATATAACAGTGTGTAACATTTAGTAGGATCTACTGTCAGAAAAGGAATATAATATTCAAAACAATGTTTTCATTAGTGTATAATCACCTGAAAATAAGAATAGTTGTGTTTTTGTTATCTTAAAATTAGCCACTTTTATCTATAGACGAAGTTGGTTGTCCATGGTGGCGGCAATGTTTCTACAGTAGCCCAGGATGGACAAACCAAACAAAGGGCCTTTTACACCGTAGTTTCTTCTTCGCCCATGGGGCTATCTGCAACTACACCGCCAAATGGCACTAATCCTACACACTGGACATTTAAATATTTAAGAGCCATTAACCATCCATGCTGCTGCATTGATTCATTGCAATCATTCATCACTCCCAAATATTATCTCACAATCTGGGTTGTGTAGATAAATTTAACTTCCTTAACTTCTTTAATGTCTAAGGGTGTATTCACACGTCTTGTTTGGAGCAGTCCATTTACCATTTACCATTTACCAGTTTCTGACTCTAACCAATAGTAATAAGCCCCCAGTAATCACTGTACAAGATGCCTCCTTTTTGTCTCTACCTGTTAGTCATTATTAACAACATGTCTAATACTACTAATAATGCTTACAATCAGTTCTTTCTTCAGAAAGAACAAAAATATACACATCAGAAGCATTAAAGTGCTGCGTAAAGCACAGTCACTGGAATTTGATGACAATCAACAAGTTATGTCAGTCTGTATTAACAGGAACGTTTGTGTGAACAGGAACCGGACCAGAATTAAAATCTATGGTATTGTCACAAAAGGCTACACTCTCCTACAACCATGCAAACACTTCTGGCTGCACCTGATCAGACATGCTCTCTGCTCCGGGATTTCAAAACGCATCAACATTGCAGCTCGTTTTGATAATGTCTTATAACAAAAAAAGTTTACCAAAAAGTGTGCCATGTAGTTGCTGAATCTGTCTTCAGTTTACATCAGCACTGGTTGGTCTAAACATTTTTTGTGAGTTTCCAGAGGCGGTGAGTAATGGTGCTGGGCTCTGCTCTACTCTACTTTATGCAAATGAGGAGCAACGTCTCCTCCTGAAGTACTCAACCATGAGAAGGTGTGTAAAATGAATTATCTAATGTAAATACATACATTATATCAAATGTTTTTATATTTATATGGATTTATTTAATATTATCTCAACATGGAACAGGAGTGCTTACAATAATAATTATAAAATACAAAAACAAGCCACTCAATTAGGACAAAAAGCTGCACTGATTGAAATTTTTAACTTTGCACAGTCTACACTCTGCCTTTGAACTGTCTACCACATACATATATGTCCAAACTTTACTACATTTCCTGTCACTCATTTTCCTCACCCTTTCTCGTGGTGTAGTCTCTGTCTATGTAGCAAGTTCTTTCTCTCTCTCACGTCTCCTCCCACCTGGTTCACGGTGCTCACTGTAACCTCCCTTCCCCTCCTCTGCTCGTGTAGATACACAGGACGCCGCCAACACATCTTGACCACTCACGTGTGCTTAACAGTAAAAAACAGGGGAAAAAACAGGAAAACAATCGGATCTGGCTCCAATCAGGGAGCCGGCCCCGTTCGTTCACTCTCAAAGTGCGGCTCTTAGAGCCGGA